TTAGGTTCAGGTCCGGATTCAAGTCCAGAGGTTTAGGTTCAGGTCCGGACTTGTAAGTCCGGACCTAAACCCATGGCATATACAAAATTGCATGTTGGCAACCTCGCAATGTTGTCTGGGTGAAACTTTGGCCACATAACATGGAGGCCTGTACTTGACGATGCCCAATGGCAATGTTTTCTTCGTTTTGCAGCAAAGATTTTGCAATCTACAGAAGGTTTTATGTGGTCTGGAAAGAAAAGTGGTATGTGAAATGGTCTTTTATGGTAATAAGTCCGGACTCGGTTCTTGACTTTTAGGTTTTTTTTGGACTTGAACCTAAACATTCTTACAAGTCCGGATCCAAGTCCAGTGAACCGGTATGCATCACTAATTGTGCATAGCACTTTGGCGCTGAAACAACTTTGAAAAATGAACATTTTCAATCCTAGTACAAATGGTTTTGATTCAGTGGGAACACCACATATAAAAGGAATGAAAGTAAAAGACATCAAACTCAAAGTAAAAGACAAAACAAACAATCAGAGCTTGTCTTGTCTCCTCTCTTCATATATATCTGCCATCCACGTTCCGGCATGGCAACAGACATCTTTGCCCATTTTCGGCATGTTGACCACTGTCGCCTGACTTTTTCTCCAAAATCAGGCGAAAATTAATGAGCACACTGATGTCATCCATAAAAATTACTTGCTGTGGCTTAATAGTTATGTTGGTAATAGTCTACAGTTAATCTTCTCACTGCTGACAAATGTTGAAACTAAAGGAAATTTGATACTCTGGTTTAGATTTGTGCATTTTTATTTGTGTCTTCAGGGGAAAAGTTGACAGAAGAAGAAGTAGAACAATTGGTGGCAGGACAGGAGGACCAACACGGCATGATTAACTATGAAGGTAACAAATCCCCCTCCATTTTGTATGGAACATTCCTTATCACATATCCTATACCCTGTAAGAGTCAGTCCAATTTACAATGTAAGGGAGGGGCAGGTTTATGATGCTAAGAATTCTAAAGGTAGTGACTTTTATTTCATGTGTTCCTCTGTCTGTAGACTTGTAGATATGTCTAGTACATGTACGTAGTCAAACTTTTTAATGTTGTTTGAGTTATTTTGTTCTGTTTATTTTTGTAAGGTTTTTTTAGTTTATAGGAAGTTTTATTTCTTGTTTCTGTGCCAATAGACCGATAGAGGTTTTCATTGTAGTAAGTTTTGTTTCATGTTTCTTTACTCCCCCCTCCCCCTTGTTGTCGCAGAATTTGTCCATGAGGTGGTCTATTCACACAGGGTAAGAAAGCATGTGCACGGTTTGTGCCTGCTCCAAGGGACATGGTTTTAACCCTTGTGATACCGACCACTGATATACAACTGTTTGCTCTTCTCAGCAGTTAGGATGACAAAGGTTAAGAGAAAGTAGCACTCCTTGTTTTTGTGCTACTAAAATCAGAGGTTTTCTTTTTGAATAAAAATTAAGGTGATGAAAGTTGATTGACAGAGATGGATGATTTAAGTGGAAAACTAACAAAAAGGGAAATAACTGTCTTGCACTATAGATTGAAAAGTGTGCATATTTCTTTAAATTGGTAAGACTAAGAAATGTATTTTGTGAAAAACATTGGAAGAAGCATAATTTTTTTATTTGAGCACAAATTGATGCACATTTTGTAGTATGATGTATCTATCATGGTGATGTGAAACTGAAATTGAAGGAGCGCTATTTTCTTTGCAATCTTAGTCCGGGACCTGTTTGAACATAACTTCATGTGTGTGCCATCTATTAATATTACTTCTGCCCCATTCCCAGAGTTTATCCGAATGGTTATTGCAGAAAATAGGGTAAGGCGGTGGCATGAACATACTTGCTAAGTATGTAGCAAAGCATAGCCATGCCTTGACAATGAAATACAAAAATGATAATGATAAAAATGATGAAAGTTTTAAGGGGTTAACTTTTTTCTTCCAGCCAAACAGTACTTAACAAATAACAATAGTCCCATAGCAAAGTGCCTATATTGCCTAATTGACATACATGAATTTGATGCGCAGAAAGTTATTTTACTAACTGCATGGTATTTATATACATTAACCATCCATGCTGTTATGATTATGCAGTTTTTTGTGTGTGAAATGTATTCTGTTTTTGAAAAAAAAAGTTACAAAAAGAAAAGACAGAATGTGTTTTGCTTTTGGTCCAGAAAACATAAATTTGAATTTATGAGTGATTTCTCCCCTTGTGTTTAAAATGTAGTTTGATACATGTTTTTTGCCCGAGTCTTGGACAAAATTTAGTATTATTTCTTGGAAATTCATTATCTGTATCCACATTGCACTTTTAAGATGTGGTTTAATTTCAACAGGAAGTGAATTCAACTTATTACAACTTTTGCCAAACATGGTATTTTTTGGTAACACCTCAAGGGAGGTGCCTTTTCCAATCATTCCTCAAGGTGACAAATGTTGTATAATGTCAATGATGTAATGTTTATGTTTGTTTGTTTGTTTGTTTGTTTACAGAGTTTGTAAGGATGGTGGTGTCCAACTGAGCAGCGCCATGCTGGAAGAGCACTGACGCGATCAACTAACACAAACAGCAAAATCACGAACGAGAGGCCAGACCAGTCAAACTCTCCATAATCTTAATACAATATAGGAAATAATACCCTATTAATTTTACCTTTGCTTATAAATTGGTACTATTCGAATCAAAGTTGACCACATTTTGAAAATATGGCAAATTGAGCACTGAGAGTTTTATTAAATGCACTAGATTTCAAAATCATTTAATGGAAATATACATTTGGTGGCAAAGCAACCCTTGGTCTCATATTGTTATCTTCTTATACTTATATACTCTTCACTTGTGTAAGACATTCCAGTTCCTTTAAGATTGCTGTGTTGAGTCTTGTAAAATAGTTTGCAGTCCTTGTTCAGTAGACGTTACTGGTTACCTGCCTTTCGGAGACATTTCAAGACCTAAGGATTGGACTAGAGCTAAAGTATTGAAAAATTAGCATATTGTGTCAATCAGAGAAGGCACTGTCCCAAGGTACACTAGACGCTGGACTGGTCTGGCTTCAGAAGGGTGTAAGACTGGAGGGAACGTACATTGTCCTTGACTTCCACCAGAAGGCCACAACAATTCGATTTGTTGGTTCACAGATTTTTTCAGAGAAAATATGAAACGGCAGGGCGAAAAAAAAGAGTAAAAACAGGCCTAGGCATCCAATGATAGCCCCAAATGCTACGATAGGAGTCATGAAGTCAACATACCACGCTGGTTTGTCATGCAAACAATGAATTTTAAACTTCTAAACTAACAACTGCATTGAGAGATGGAAGACTATAACAATTCTGAAGAGAGGAGACTTCCTTCAACTGTTTGGGCCAAAATATGAGCATTTTGGAGTTGATTCATAACCTGAAATGTCTTTTTTTTTTGCAATTTGGAAAAAAATGAAGCCGGAAAATCTGAGAGACGAGAACCAACATTGCAACAAATTAAATTGGTGTGGCCTAAGGTGGCTTTACGAAAACTAGTTTTGATACCTACACAAGAAACAACAGTAGTCTGTGTGATGTACCATACAGTAGGACATAGTCATGACTTAAGTGTAACTTATGCAAAATTGCTTTACTAGCGTGCTAGACTAGAGGTTTGAAAGAGGTGTACAACATAAGAAAAGGTTGTGATCACTGTTACAAGTGATAGACCATATATTTTATTTACTTTCTTGAGGTTGTAGATAACAATAAGCTTATTAGAACGTCTTCTTGATGTTGTTCCAAATGAAAACATTGTGCTACACAAGTGTTCCACGCTACCAATGTTGTAGTATGACTCCAAAAAAAAGAAGTCCTGTACTGTAGCAACTGTTAGAGATAGAGGAATATTCAAAGCCCCCCCTCCCCCGATATCACTTTTAAATAATATATAATCCTTTATCCTTGCCCCACAAGCTACGACCTTGTACCTCTTTTAAGATATGACCAACCAATCATGAAAGGGATCCATATTGAATGTGAACGTTATAGCAGATCTTCTACAGTCTGTTTTTGCAGTGGCATTTTCCTTGCTTTCAATGTACTCTCAGCCTAGCTTATTGGTACAGGTATGCTAGTTACTGTAATAAAGGTTAATGTTAGGCTTTCTATGGATTGTAGTGTATTCATGTTCCCGTATTTACCTTCGCCGAGAAGGTTATGTTTTTTTTGGCTGTGTGTGTGTGTGTGTGTGTGTGTGTGTGTGTGTGAGAGACCTGTAATTAAGAGGAAGAGGAACAAACTCAGATATTCCTTATGTAAGTTGATGAGAAAATCCAATCAGGACTGCATTTACATAATTCATGAGGCAATATTAGAACAGCTTTAATGATTTGGTATGGGTTTAAAAAAGACAAAACACCCATTTACTATTTTCGAAAGGTTCTTTATTAAATGACTAATTGTTTGAATATTGAGGAAATTGGAGAGATTAACTTTCCTACCTTTAACACTATTTGGTCTCGTGTGTGGAAGGTGTTCAGCACCAAGGACAGGTACGTTTTCCTGTGTGTTGAAGGTGTTCAGCACCAAGGACAGGTATGTTTTCCTGTGTGTGGAAGGTGTTCGGCACCAAGGACAGGTACGTTTTCCTGTGTGGAAGGTTTTCAGCACCAAGGACAGGTTTCGGTGTGCTCAAACATCTCAACCGACCGCGTCTTGGCCTAATATGCAGTACGTGTTCATGGGTTAAGAACCCTTTGTAACGCTCTGTCTATGTCATTATGGATATGAAAAAAAAAACACTTTAAACTGACGTTTTGGGGGGCAACAGTTACGGCGCGCCGTGTGCCCTGATGAACAGGGTCCGCCATTTTGAATGTTTTGATCGAGTCGCCGGAACTCATCGTGCGGTGTCAAAATGAGGAAAATAAAAGCTTGTGAAGCACGGAAACTTACCAATGATAAAGGGAAACTTCTTCAAACATGTTTGCGGTGGTGGATTTAGCACTCGATACTTAAGGGCGGATAATTTTTGCGGGCAGTAGAACTCCCTAAAAAGACAATATACATTTGCGACTGGTCTTGAGTGTATATATTCAAAGTCACTTGATAAAATCACAAATATTTAAGAGTTATTGTGTGTTTTCTATTTCTAATTACATAGACAATTTATCCAGAGCGTACGTTGAATCGTAATTAGATTATACTTAAATAATTTTATAAGTGCCGAATACCGAGACGGGCTGTCTTTGGTCGCCATAATTAGATTACACTTTTACATTAATTAGGCATGGCTGTTTTGCACACCTGCGTAAAAGCAACTTTGGCGTGGTCTCTCCAAAATGGCGGCTTCGTACGACGGGGATACTCTGGGCTGATTTTTTAACAACTTTCTGGGTACTTTTTAGCGTTTTTGTCGGTAGAATGTTTTACTAAGTGTGCAGCAGAATGTTTGGGAGTTTTCGCTATGGATTCGAGCCATTCTGGTGACGTTTTGAAGAGAAAATGCGGATTTCCTGACCTGGCGAATTTGGAGAAGACAACAAAATGGCGAGACGGGAGGAGTAGCGTGGTATGGAGACGACCGCTTATTGTTGCAGGTAAACCAACAAATTGTTTGCCTGACATTCTTCCCTAGCAACTATACGAACATGTCAAGTATATTTCGTAAGAAATGTCCTAGTTCTGTATTAGACAGCGACTAATTTTAGACAGGCTTTGAAAATCTAGTCGCCGCGTTTTCAACAACATTTTCACTGCGGTGCGCTTGTAGAGTATTACATGCATATGCATGTCTTTTTCGTCAATTGTTAAGCGTTATGAGATTATATTTGTTGAAAAAATTATGTCCTTGCGTTGACCAAACCTTTTTCTTTATCTCCACGTGGTTCGAAACACCTGTTGGAATGTGCCCGTGTACATAATTTAATATTTTTTGACGCTCCCGCCAAAAACTCGCATAAACAACATAGGGTCCTCAAAGCTTCAAGCCATCGAAATGAATACGCTTCAAAACCTTCGGAAACTTCAGTCGAGTTGACCATACTTCAGGTCTTCATTATCATGTGCAATTATAATTTAAAAGCTTGTCCGTTTCAATTTACTAAATTCAGTAATGTTTTGTGGCGCAAACACTACAGTTGACTACGCTAAAAGGTTGCGATTGTTGTTTTCAAAACATTTTGAGTTTATATATGTATTAATGTTTCAGTGAAGGGGTTTGATTTATTTCATTGTCGTTGTTGCTATCCTGTTTTTTCTTATGGTCATTATATAGTACAGTTTTCGAGGTTTGCGCAGTGGGTATGTGTTTGTTTTAAGTTAAGGAATTTAACGTGTCTGTGTGTGTGTGTGTGTGTGTGTGTGTGTGTGTGCATTGCTAACGTCAACACTAAGCATCGAAGATACATTAAATGTAGATATAGCGTTATATTGTCTGTCAAACATGCTTGTAATTTAGTTAAGGTTCTTGATGTGCTACTTCTGTATGAAAGTACCCCCAACCCCCCAAAATTGTAGTTTTTTTCAAATGCAGATTTCACATCCACAACATAAGAACTTTTTTACCTCAAAATGCCCATTGTATTATAATGACTCTAATATAGAGTACAAGTAGGCCATGTGTTATATATCAAAGTCATGCTTAAGCTTGTAAAGTTGTGTCTGGTAGCAATTTCTTGTTTTGTGGTTGTCTCAGTGACAAAATCTGTCTGCTTTTGTGATGTGATTGACAAGTACATGGAGAGTCACTCGATTCATAGCGTCAGAAACAGCCTTGAATACGAACAATCAGCCATTTTCTGTTAGCGACATCACCTATTTGCTTCATGATCACAGACATCAGAATTTCATAAGATGAGGTTGATTCAACTAAGTGTACATCTATAGTTGGTAAGTCAGTGTTATTATGGAAGTTTCTGCAATGTATGACAAGCTTCAAACATCTTGTAACCATTTCTTCTTTTTGATCATGGCATAGAATCCTGTAGTGAGCTGTGCTCTGAGGGTCAGCAACCTGTGCAGGTGCAGATGAGAAAAATCTGAGTTCTCACGACATTTTACCTACAACTATTTGGTGTTATTTGAGACAATTGTCTAACTGTGTAGTTACACATGTAGGTGGCAGCTGACTGATGCAGTAGTGGGGACTCCTGTCTGAACCTGACAAGACAGATTGGACCAGACCAGATGTTTTAAAGACCCAAGGAATATTAGATCATCAGGTGAGAAAAAAACATGAATTCTGCATTTTACCTACAACTATTTGGTGTTAATTAAGGAATTGTGTAACTCGTGATTTGTCTGTGGTTAGGTGGCTGCTGACTGATGCAGTAGTGGGGACTCCTGTCTGAATCTGATTGACAGATTGGACCAAAAATGCAGTTTAACTACCATTTACTTGATATTATTTGAGACTAGTTCTTAACTTATAATGTCTGTATACATGTAGTTGGTGGCTGCTGACTGATGCAGTAGTGAGGATTCCTGTCTGAACCTGACAGATTGGACCAGACCAGAAGATTTGAAGACCCAAGAGGAATATGAGGTGAGAAAAATCCCATTTCTGCATTTAACTACTCTTTGCTTGGTATTATTTGAGACTAGTTCTTAACTTATAATGTCTGTATAGTTAGGTGGCTGCTGACTGATGCAGTAGTGAGGATTTCTGTCTGAAGCTGACAGATTGGACCAGACCAGATGATTTGAAGACCCAAGAGGAATATGAGGTGAGAAAAATCCCATTTCTGCATTTAACTACCCTTTACTTGGTATTATTTGAGACAAGTGCGTAACTTCTAATGTCTGTGTAGTTAGGTGGCTGCTGACTGATGTAGTAGTGGAGGCTCCTGTCTGAACCTGACAACAGTGGATTGGACCAGACCAGGTGTTTTGAAGATCCAAGAGGAATATCAGGTGAGAAAAATCCATTCCTGCATTTTACCTACAGCTATTTGGTATTATTTGAGACAAGTGACAACTTCTACTGTCTGTATAGTTAGGTGGCTGCTGACTGATGCAGTAGAGGGGACTCCTGTCTGAACCTGACAACAGTGGATTGGACCAGACAAGGTGACTTGAAGACCCAAGAGCAATATCAGGTGAGAAAAATTCTGCATTTTGCCTACCATTTACTTAGTACTGTATTACAAGTCGATCTGTAACTTATGTTTCTATTATTATTAGGTGGCTGCTGACTGATGCAGCAGTGACGGGGATTCCTGTCTATATCTCAGTGACCAGTTTTGAAGACCCAAGAGGAATATCGGTAAGAACTTGAAATCTAAATTATAAATTGTACCAGTAGTAGTTTTCTTAGTGTTAATTGAGACAAGCATGTAACTTTTTAATGTCTATGTGGCTAGGTGTACTGCTGACTGATGCAGTTGACTGCTGTGATGATTCTAAACCCGACAAGACCAGATGTTAGTGTTCTGAGAAACCTGGTGACCGGCAACTTCTCTCCAGTGCAGACCAGCAAATCAGACGACCTCAAGACACAGTGAGTTTGTACAGGTGAGACAATGGTTCTCAATTTACAAGTTATATTTTTCTAAGGCATTTCACAATTCTGAGGCATGTCGCAATAGATAACAACTTTCTAGAGCCTAGGATTTTGTACATCTATTCAATGAAAGGGATTGCCCAATTGTGCAATTTTGTCACTTAGTCTATCTTTAATGGTCATTCAGTGTTGCATCACAATAACCATCCATTCATATCGGTAGGTGTGTCCTGACTGTCAGCTGTCCTGACGTTCCTGTCCTGACTGGGAGAAACCTGTGATGACCAGCGACTCCTGTCGAAACCAGACGAGATGAGGGCTGAGAAGACTGGTTGACTTGAAGACTGGTGGAATGAAGAGAGTTTACAGGTGAGACAATGCTTTTCAACTTACAAAGCAGTTTACCTTAGACTTGTTTCAAGATAAAAAGTTTTGGATCAGAAGAAAGTCTGGCTTTTTACAATGTTTATGTAACGTACCCAGTGAAAAAAAAGAGTTGTGTTGTAGGCAATATAATTATAATATACTAGTTCTTACTAAGGCCACAGCAAGTAATTTTTATGGATGACATCAGCGCGCGCATTAATTTTCGCCTGATTTTGGAAAAAAACCCAAGAAATTTTGTTGTCTTCTGACAGTGGTCACCATGCCGAAAATGGGCAAA